AGCTTTAACTGTGCTGGAGGGACGCTTATCAACGAAATTTACGGCGGTATCGCATCAACGAATTGGATGTCGGACAGTTCGATATCGTTACTGCTGCTAAAGTGGTGCGGAATTTGTGGTGACGCATTTTTCATCAGCCCCCTGTGTGGTAGAAATCTATCGTGGTCCATACCCGAAGAGAAGACGTGGAATGATTTTGTAGCTCCATGTCGCGTCGGCGGTAACCACTGGACTCTCGTTATCATTCGTCCCAACGACAAGGAAACTGTGATCTATGACCCCATGTCTGCTGATGTGTTTGTGAATATGACCAAGACAAGATGCTACAATGATCTTCTCCCCTACATTGAAAGCTGGATGAACCGAAAGGGATATGCCAAACCGTTTATGTGGAAAGAAAGCGTCTCCGCTGAGCCACGTCAGTCCGACGACAATTCGTGTGGGGTCCACGCTCGTCTCGCTTCGTTGCCAATACCCAGAGCGATGTCAAGATATTCACGGGTTTGTCCCGTGTCGGCTTCGGCCGAGGAACCAACTCCCAAGTCTGGTTCTCCACCAATGAATCATATTCCACATCCATCGCCTTTTTCCATTGAGCAGCATGATCTGATGCTAGTGCTTCCTGCACCGAAGTCGGGTTCAGCAGATCACACATAGTCGCAATCATCATGCATTGGAAAAGCGTTTTGGTAATCGTGAAAGCTCCAGGGTCATACCGTCGTGGTGATCGACGAGGACGAATTGACCTACGCAACGGTCTCGTTGTCGCGTCACCTTCGTCAGCACTCGATGTCGCGCTACTTCCACTGCCAGTCCAGATACTGCCGCTAGACCCACTACTCGCACTCGTGCTTGTGCTCCCACTAGATTTACTACTACTGATACTCGCAGTACCGTCCTCCATATTTTCATGGTCAATGACATCGACTTCCATAGCTTCACCGCGTGGAGCATATGACCCTTCACTCCCACTGAAGTCGCTGTCACTGTCATTGCTACTGGTATCATCGCTGGCATCGTCAACTTCTTCGTCGACAAATTCTTCAGCCATTCCATCGTCCGAATCGAAGAATTCCTCATCAACATCCATCGCTTCAACACCATCCTCAGTCTGTTCCTCTGCCGGTAAAATCACTTGGCTAACAGGTAGAGGTACAAAGTCAATGTGTGCTGGTAATTCAATATCTTCACCAAAATATCGTTTGTTTATCAGATCCTTCAAGTACTCCGGATCAGCAGCAATATTTTCGTGAAAGACCACATCACGCTGCTCAATCAGGCTTCCCGTGCTCACGTCAAGTATACGAAAGCCCAATGACGTCTTCGCGTACCCGACAAACACACCTGGATCCGATCGCATCTCCAGCTCGCTGGTACGCTTCTTCTTCGGGATGTAGTGAAAGACAATTGACCCACACACATGTAGATCACGAATGTGCGGTTTGCTCCCGTGTAGCCTCTCGTACGGGGTCACACCATTCAGGGCCTTGGTAGCGCTCATATTGTCTACGTCAACCACAAAACCAATCACTTCCCCCATAAACACCATGGAAGTCCAGCCGCTTCAGTCACAGCTCGCACCTTGCTGAATATTGTACCGTTCAGTTTCTCCA